AGCCCGCCGCTGCCCGAGGTGACGCCGAGGTAAAACCACGTCACTGCCCGCTCGCCTCGCGCCCGTCTGGCATCACCCTCACGGGGCTGCACCCGGCACCCCTCAGAGCGGGCGCTTCCCGCCGTTTCTGACCCAGACACTGTTTTACGCTTGACCTGCAGCTCAGTGGCCTTGCGGGGGTGCCCGGCAGGCAGCAGCTCATCGAGCGGGATGTTATGGCCCGAGAAATTGCTTTGCCAAGGCCTTTGAGTGGTGCCTTTACCTTTGCCAGGCCCTTTTTTAGAGGTTCCTTTGCCTTTGCCAGGCCCTTTTTCAGCGGTTCCTTTACCTTACACAGCAGCATCCCTCTTGCTACCACGCTTCGCCTACAGCTGTGGCTTGCTTTGACAGAAACAACCCACAACGAAACCAAAAGAACAGAACAAACCCAAACCCCTCGCTCCCCAGCATCCCCTTCCCTCCCCAACTCAGAACATAAGCCATGTCACTACGTGCACTTTTGCCTTACTTGTAGCTTCCTACAGCGACGCCCGACTGCCACAAAAGCCATCCTGTTCCCTGCCCGTGCTGGCTGCAATTACTGCTGGGGCTGTTGAGGGGTTTTTGTTCCTACCACTTTTGAGCATACCCAGTCATCAGTGAAACTGGGCAGGCAGTGAAGGTGGCATTCTTACACAGCTGTTTTGTTGGGTTTGTGGGGTTTTGTTTGGTTTGGGGTTTTTTTCCTTCCCTTGGACTACAGGGATCATGATCACCATTTAAAACAGTAACTAATAGAAGCTTTAACATCTGCTCGTCATCGTTGTAAACTCACACAGGCCTGAAACAGATGGGGTTGCTGGGGTGTACCCCCAGCGTCAGGAACTGCGGTATGATGCCGCTGAGCTTTTTAACCCAACAAACATGGTAGTTCCTATCGCATTGTGTACTCGGTGGCTGCTGTGTTGTACTGTAATACGTGTGTCAGTCACAGTTGCCTGGTAGACATCACAGTGGCTTTATCCTATGGCTTACAGGTTTTGTTGGTACAGAAACCACAGCCCCAAGTCAAAGTCTAATGGCAGCAAAATGGCTTTAATAGTATAAGATGTTATGAGAAAATTTCACCACTTAAAGGCATGGAAGTTACTAGCTTACAAGGATGGAAATGTGCCTGAAACTGTTAGCACGTGCTGACAGTTTGGAAATTGTTAAGAAGCAATGGCCACTTGTTTCTGGTTTCTTTCTTATGTGAAGAGCAATAGTAAACAGAAAAATGCTCTAAATATGCACACGATAGCTTATGGCTAACGCTTGGTGCACAGTGAGGAAACCCGACTGCCACCAGTACAACTGGAAAGACACGCTGCACAGGCCCAGTTTTACTGGAGGGCTGACCACCCCTGCTCTTGGTGTACAGGACCTGGAAAGCCCCTACTTAAGAACCCCGTGAGCTTCTTTTGATGCTGAAAAATCTATCCATTCTGTGTACACTTACTGTTTTCTGTAAAGTGTCCAATGCTCACTAGAAGCAACACCGTAAAAGTAACATGCTAGATCAGTGCTGCAACCAGCTGGATCACACACAAAAAAAGAATGCTCAGGCCAACAGGAGACTTTAGTGCAGAACATCTGCTAAGGAGCTTGTCTGCTGACTGACAGGTGAGAAGGGTCTGCTGGTACAAAAAGTTGCTGTTGATATGGTTAAAAAGACATAATTTTTTGCCGCCTCTATGAACCCCCATTCACGTGGATCACTGGAGATGGGGACTGAGGGGCTCCATCTAATCCCTCAGAATATTCCAGGTCTGAGGACATAGGTTAAGGAGCTGCAGAAGGTCAGGTGGAAACCTGGTGAAAGTTTGACTTAATCTTGATTTCTCCCAGATTACCCCAAGCGTAAGCTCTTCCATATTTGGCGAAACGATTTGCTGTGAGGCCTGGGAGCTTGGGTCACAACTGACATATCTCAGAGTAAAAAACCACCATGACTGCTGAAGTGCTAGTGAGCAACAACACAAATCCTTGAATATGGCTTGTCAGTGCTGCAGTGCCACAGTGGACAATGAATCAGGGTGAAAGGATGCTGTATTAGAATGGGATTGTGGGAGATTTGTAAATACCTGAGCACTTCCTTAGGCAAAACGTTTACTCCAGCAGTGTCCTCGGTTTTACTTCACACTTTTACATCACCTCCAGGGGACACGTGGTGCTCTAGCTGTCACGGTAAGCGACGGCTCAGCCCCTGCAATGAGTCAGTCAGGGCACCGGTGCGACTGGGGGAAACTGGGCTATAGAGGCTATCTGTCTCACTACAGAGGGAGGTAACCATCTGTCGGAAGGGAGGGAATGAGAGGGGCCATTTGCAGGACGAGAAGCTGAGGAGGACGTTGAACTGTAATGTACTAAGAACCTGCAAATAAGAGTTC